ATGATTTCAAGGAATCATTTCTCTGCCCAACAGATACTGTTCTTCTCAATACTACAGTCTGGCCACTACCCGAGCAGTTAAACTGTGTTTATAATAGTCTGACGTTACTTTATTTCTTACGTAACACTGCACTTGGTTTAGTTGCTGCTGCTATAGTTGTGATTATGATTGGACTTGTTTGGTGTTTTGTGCGTCACACTAATGAGCTTGGTGCTAAAGACATTGCTGCTTTCTGTGATGTCTCTTGCCTACCTCCTGAGGAATATCCTTTCCCGTCTACTCGAAAAATTCTTCACAGGATCTTATACTGTGGCAAGAAGGAGAGACTCCTAGAGAGGTACCAGCCAAAGCCGCTGGTTGAAACTCAAAAGGAACAATTGAGTATGGTTGAAGAGATAAGTCCAAGCCAAATTGAGAACAATGCCAAACCAAATCAAACTGAAGAAGAAGAAGAGAACAAAGAACCACTCTGCTGTCCTTACTTTACTGGTTTCTGGAACGGGCTAAAGCAAATTTTCATTCCGCGCATACACACAGATCTTGATTTTTTAGTAGCTCGACTGTTTTATGCTGATTCTGGCCATGGACAAGTGTTCAAAGATATTCAAATACAGAAAGAATTGAATGACAAAATATCACAAGATCACGAGCTACTTTACCTACTTAACAGTGTTCACTCACATTTGCTAAAAAAGCGTATTAAGAGAAAATTAGGTGAGGAATGATTTTACTTTTGTAGAAGTTTTTCATTGAATTTTTAATAGCTTATAGAAGGAAAGGCATACCAATGCCCGAAGACAAAGAATGGGAGCGGTTGAAAGATTTAAAGAAGTACTTTTTTGAATCAAAATTTGGTGAAACAAATCCTGAGGAAAAAGTTTATTCGTTCTTTAAGAAAGACTTAGGAGTTAGGAGCACTGATTGGGTAATAATTTGATATAAATGATATAGATTTACACCTAGTATGATTTGTAGTCTCATTCTCCATTGAGAAGTGTATTGTTTGGTTTCCTCAAGTTTGCTCCAGATAACAAGCTAGCTTTAGATATTTCTTTTGGCAATAGGACAGGCCATTCTCTGATCTTAGCAAGAGCTTTCTATCAAGTAAGTATTATAAAGTATTTTTTAAAAATTACTGTGTTGTAACTGTTGTAGTCAGTGACAATACATTTCAATACATATTACAAGAATCCAAAGGAGATATGTCGAGAGGACATATACCAGGCAAACTTTCGAACGTTTACCTACCAAGCAGACATATTCAGTCAAAATGCCTCCAAAATTACTGAAGTAATCCTCTATTTATTTAAATATAAATTTATTATAAATGTTTGAAATAGTCTGAGCAGCTAATTATCCGACTGTTCAATGAAGACATTGATGGACGTCAGATAGATCTTATTGTGATAGGACCAATGACTGACCGTTCCAAAATCGTAACAAGTAAAAATTGAAGTGACGAGACTTTTTAAACTAATTCTTTTAGCCAATCTTTTGATTGAGAAGATGTATGGACGTGGTGTGTACTTTAGAGAGGGTGCGATTCTGCTAGCCATGCGTCCATTAATGATAGGATCAAAATCTTGCACTGGACGTTTCATTCAATACGAACCTCCTGAAGGGTAGGCTAGATTCTAACACAGCTAGTGATTGATGAGTACAAAATGGTTTAACCCACATTTATTCTTTGTCCATATTAGGTTATTTGATAACATAGGCAATGAAGTGAATGACTATCTTGCTGAAAGCAATGTACCAGTTTACTCTGTTAGTTCTACTGGAGCTGTTAAAAAGATAGAGCATGCAAGTCAATACTACAATCGTCAAGGATCAAGAAGTACTCTTAGGAGACGACACACTTTGTCTCGACTTATGAGCAGAAAGGAAGAGGTCCTGCCATGTGGGTTAGCGATAGAGTGTAATAAAATTCAATGCCTTTATGAGTTTCGAGTCTTTCGCTATAAGGCTCAAGAAGAAGACCCATTGGCTATAATACCTGAGGAACAGCCAAATAATGACATCAATGAAGGAGATATCCTAAGTAGTGGCAGAGATGATGTTACTAGTCATAGCTCTGTGCCTCCTCCAATAGCAACGAAGGAGGAGTCAGTTAATGATATTGAATCAGGTTTTGGTGGGGATGTAGCAACTGGGAAGCTGGTGTCACCCATTCAGTCGCCCACTTCAATGCCTAACTTGACACTTCCATCACCAATTCCTAGGAATGTTAGCAAATCACATCCTAACTTGTGAAAATTTTGTATTTTAAATTATTCATTTTGAGATAATTATCAAACTACCACGTGACAACACGTGGGTAGCAGGGGTGTGCCGAATATCTATGGCCGAACGAACCCGCCTCATCACATGGAGCCCTGATAGAGATTCTAATTGGTAAGAAATTTAGATTGCAAGTTCACTCCTCTAAAGAATGTTCTTTTTCGTAGAGTTATTTCTTATGGAGTGAATTTTATTCAAATCTGAAAGTGCTGTATTAAGCTATTAAAGGTATAAAGTAAACTAAAAAGAGTCAGCCATTTTATCCTGATTGATTATCCATTCTTCTATAGAACAGCCTTTGTTCAATGATCGATGAAGAATGATGGATATGTGTCACACAGTCTAATGGAAGTACAGTTCTTGCAATTCTTGACGAGTGAGTCACGTTCATTTTCCTAAAAGCTAAACTCTTTACTGTAGTCTCAAAAAATCTGATCTAAACACTGAGGTCAATCCTACTTATACATTTAGACCTTGTTTTTCACTTGATCTAGTACTAGCTTGATCCACATGTAATCGTCTTGTGTAAACTATCCACTGTGGAATGCAGTAGTTCAATTAAAGAGAATCGACACTGTGGAATGCAGTATGTATAGTTCAATTAAAGAGAATCGACACTGTGGAATGCAGTATGTAGTTTGACCAGCTTCAATTAAAGAGAATTAAGATTTAAACTCTGGATAGGTTCTTGCTTTTTCACACTTTTCTCAAAACTTTTGGGAAAAGTTTCTTTTGCGCTTGCTTATGGCTGCTTTTTGCCTGTAATAGCTTTATGTTCACGCATAATGATAATTTATCTAAATTCTTGGTAAAATAGAGTATAAAAATAGTTTAAAAGTATTAGTAAAGGGCCTATAAGTAAGAGCTATAAGTCACATCATGCCATGATGATTTATTGAAGTTTCGCTAAACTCTCGCCAGTAATTTCCTGGCCGTCAACAGGACAATATTCTTGCCTTAGAGCACAGTTATTACAAAATGTAAAAGTGTGACCACACACAAAGCGTAAACTCTTAATGAATTGTTGAACATAGCAAAGCTCACAACACCGGCACTGTGTTCTATTACCTGTATTATAAGGCTTAAGTGGTAAAAAGTTAAAAAGTTAAAGGTTGTAGTATCAGTGGTACTTACAAAGTGTCGTTTAGGCTGATTGTAAGTCCCAATTTGCCTTCCTGGATTATAGAGATTCCTCGAACATTCATCACAGTATGATCCTGTGGTGTATTGTTTGGTTGCATTCCGCTCCTCACAGCAGTCACATCTGATGTAGTTTTGTTGCCTCTGTTATAGGAGAATCTCAAAATACATGTACGTGGCTTGCTGTAACTCACTAACCAGTAATGAATTCATTTCTTAAACTCTTAGAGAAAGGATTAGTAGGAATTATTTTTGCACTGGTGATGCATGCATGGAGAGATTCCATTTTTATAAGAAACTTTTTGTGTGATGTCATTGCCCATTGAGCTATATCAGGTTGCTGTATCATTCTTTTATCGGCTGCCAACTCTGCAATTTATGGTGTTTACATTGCATTGGGGCGACACCAGGGACGCTACCGTACTACGTCAGCTCACATGGTTGTTATGTTTCTGAGGATTCACTCCTTCATACCATGAATATTGTTTACTCACTAATGAGGCTTCTTGTTATTGGCACCTTAAACCCACCAGTCACACCTTCATCTCATCATTTTGATATGACTATATGACCATTTCACGGAACTTTTTAAAATATCATTATAATGTTTCATTAACAGCGACAAAATCATGTATAAGTTTTATTATATTGGTGTTATGGGATTTATACATGTGTCTTTCAGTTCTAGTGCCAGCAGATGAGTTAATTGGGATTCTGAAGTAACTTTGTTGTAATCATATGGACAGGCCCCATGCTTATTAGCACAATAAAGACAGAATGTAAAAGAATGACGCTCAGGGCAAGTGTATTGCAATTTTACCACATCTTCTTTCTTGTACTGATTCCTACAGCACCAGCATTCAAAAGATCTTGACACTTTTTCCTACAAATAGACCATTGATTTGATATAATGCTTCATAAAATGTAGTTTACCGATGGAGGTTTTGGATCTCTTGGTTGAGGATTTGTTTTCTTGTGATGTTTAAGTTTACGTCCCCCGTCCTCTGATACAGGATTCTGATCTTTGCATCTTAGACAAAAAACGTCAACTATTTCACCTCCTGTTTCAAGCCTCATATTGTATAAACCATACCGCCATTCGCAACATGTACACTTTTCCTAGTCAAGTAGAGAGTAGATGGAATACAATCACTATTAACACTCACAGCCATTCTACCAGACACCAATGAACAAGAATATACCTTGAGCTATGACAATATGATTTTTACTTGTTCTAGTCTCTTGGTTTTATATTCGTTCCTTATCAATTACGGAGGTCTAATGTTCACTTTATCTGTGCATTGTCAGCTTTGGCCACGTTAGCAATGGCTGTTTACTCTTCTAAAAGCTTTCAAGTAAAGTCCTCCCATAAGACTAACGATGATAGTATACTTATCATGAATATAATAATTGTTAAAATAATTATGGTTTCTCAGCTATAATTAATACTTTGGAAAAATTAAATATCACTATGTGTGTGCATGTAAGGAAGGAGTAATACTAATAATAGTCATTGGTAAGGTTCATCATCACTGCTGTTTTCTACTTTTTCATTAAAACTTCTTTCCGATTCTATTGAAATCTTGTCATAGTCTTTAGGACAAGTCTGATGTTGCCAAGCACATGTAATGCAGACAGTGATTGAATGGATTCTGCATTGATAATTCAGTTTGACTACTGCTGACTGTTTGTATCTGTATTCACAGCACCAACATTTAACATACTGGACTCTTGGATATTCACAATATGTATACTTGGTAATAAGAAATAATATTATTTTATTCATCATTATCACTTACTGGACGTGGCTTTGGACTTGGATCAGATGGAATGTATGACTTCTTTTCACTATAGAATAGTTCCCTTCCTGGATATTTAGCTGAAGTATCATGGCCTCCCTTGCACTCATTGCAATATTTAGCTTCAATAGGGCCACCTTTATTAAGTCGAGCATTAGAAGTAGCATATCTCCACTGGCAGCAGGAACACTTATCATAATTTTCACCACTCTATAACATACATGACTATCATTATATTGCTTTTTCTTTTAGCTTAACACTCACGGCCATCACTTTAAAGTAACCTCAAGTAAGTACCTTGTTCTTTGCTGGTTAAGTTTGTAGTTTTTGACAACGTCTTATGTACACACATTAGGGAAAGTTTTCAGGAAAGCACCTTAGTGTTACGTAAGTTGGGATGAGATCATTTTCTCACGTGAGTCCCTCCTTTTGGTCAATCCATCGCTAATGCTCATATGTTATGAATATCCACTGTGTTAGTGTATGGCTTCCATAGTTTTAATGGAATTGATCAAAAGTTTCACTCTTTAACAAATGTCATAAAACTACATGTTAATATAGCTAATAAAAAAAGGGCAAGCACACTGTAAATGTAATTAGTATAACAATATTTAGTTAATTATATGGTTTTATGTCAATCTTTGTATCAGTTATCTTCTCAAGGACTTCTAAAAATGAAGGCATAGTAGCCACAGAATGATCTTCCTTGCACATTCTGTGTTGCTGGGCACACTGGAGACAGTATATAGCTGAGTGGTCTTTTTCCTGGCATTCATACTGTATCGTTTGCAACGCTGCTTTGTAATAGAATAACTGGCAACAGTTGCACGTACTATATTCTGTACTCTATAGAAACATAGTTTAATAATTGATTATACATTAATTGTTAATTATTATCTTACTGTAGGGTTGCTGGAATATTCTCTGGCAGGGCTAACTCCCAGATCATATTCTAAAGGTCGTCCAGGAAACTTTGGTGAAGTTTTGTGATTGCCTTTACACTTGTTGCAGAACTTTATGATGGAACCATTGATACTGTCCTTAGCATCATGTTGTGCTGGTCTCCAGTTGCAACAGTTGCATGTTGGAACCTCATTAATTTGCTATATTTGGTGGAGCTATAATAAAGAACAAAAGTATTAGATGCACTCACTGCCATTCTTTTAACGGTTTGGACTATTACCTCTATTAACTAACTTCTGCCTACCTTTTTTACACCATTTGATTTTCATTTTATAACGGACGTTGATTTCCAATTGATACATTACTGAATATGCATGTACGAGGGACTTTTCACATTGCTGCTTCATCCTTGTCTCTCTGGCTTGTTTTTCGACTAGCGTTGCTCAGTCAGCACCTATCTGATTTCATGCCGCCAAACAATCCTCAAGAGTATTCACATGTCTTCGGCTCTCACACATGTACATGTATACAGGTGTGTATTATTGTTATCGTGTCTCATCAGGGTGTAGACGTTGCTGACTTGATTGTACAGCTGCTATGTCAAGTGGAGGAGGAGAGATTAATGCCTTAAGAATAACAGTGGCGTACACTGGGATTCATTATGAATAAGGTTATTGAGTGAGGTTTGAAGGAGGAGAGAGCCATCGCCTCAGGACTAACCCAGTTCCCAGCTCAGTTTACACTCATAACAATTCATTTTATTCATTCATCTGTTATGGTGATGCCTGTTGGACTGCATTCAGGAATACACCACACATTATTTTTTAACAATTATTTTAATAAAAAGTTGTCATCTTTTAAAAATGAGAAATTACACTGATGTATTGTAAATCTTTTATATACATTATATTCTTATTTATTTATTATTCTTTCTGACATATTATGAATTGGGCAGAATTGTAATAATGAAGAGTTAACACAAGAAGCACAGAATTCATGAAGCTCATAGCATACAAATATTCTAACACCCCGAACTTCTGTTTCTTCTTTACAAAACAAACATTTGCCTGGATGATAATCGAACTAATGAAGAGAATACATGCATGAACTGCATATAGCTATTGGCTTACTTCAGACATACTGTGAAGACTAGGGATGATCAGTAGAAACTCTGTGTTGAGTGAATTGCTGCATCACACTGGAAGTAACTTGCAACTGATAGTAGCATTGCGTGAATGCCCAACCCAACCCTGTGATATCATCAGTATACTCTACAGTGCCAGTATGAGTCAATGATTGCATAGCAACCTGTACAGGATGTAAGATATGTACACCAACACTGTGCAGTATTGTACCACCAACAGTCTATGTATGGCTCTAATTATATTACTGTTATGACTGTAATTGTTCAGCTGTAAAGAACACCATGTATAATCAATGCTGTATTAATTGGTGTATATTGTATATGTGCTGTTAATTGGTTTTCTAATATACATGTACTTTGTAGTATTATATACATGCCATGTACTCTAATACTTTGAGGTGGTTTGTGTTAGTCTATGAACACCATTAGTTCATATAAATTGTGTGCATAGTGGGGAAGTTCTAAGGAATTCCTTAGTGTCCAGATGGGCTGTCCTCTTGACGGAAGATTGCAACAACACTTGAGATCCATTAGTAAAGTATACAGAGGAATGGCTTCTTCACCAGCAGTGCACTCACCATCCAATAGAGACAGTGTCAACTGTAGACAGAACCGTAGGAAGTCAGATAAGGTCACCTATAGCTTCTAAATACATATGCACATCATGGAGCAATGGAAATAAGGTTTAGTATTTAATTAGATACAGCTTGTAAGGTTACTTTTTGTTTACAGGTGATGAAGAACTTCTTTACATTTTATTAAGGTGATAACAAGGTGGCAATAAAAAAAAGCATTTATTTAGAAAGAAAGGAAGAGGAGGGATAGTAGGAAAGAAAAGTTGTCTCATTGTTAACTCATATCCATTACCAATAATAGATTCAATGTTACACTCATGCATATGTCATCAAATGAAAATTCATTGACTCCTGGAGAATACATGACATATTTACAACAGTGTGAATCAGTCATTGGGTAAGACTATTGTATAGGATAGGTATCGATTTAAAATAAGGTCTCCAAATTATATAATGTGTTAGAAAGCAATCCTAACATGAAATATTTAGCATTTGATATTTTCCAGTCAACAAAAGTTTTATCATTGATAATATGACTATTTACATGCTCTTATGTTGTGTTGAGTGTCGTGTAGAAAGCTTGAGCTCATTCAGATCAAAATTTTTATTTTTAGAAATTTTCTCAATATTAGCCAAAGACTATAGTACATAGTAATTTCATCAAAAATGACCAGCAAAGAGTTTTCTATTTCTATTAAATTTTTTACGACCTAGGGGCAGACCCTACAGGTTATTCCTATAATTGTTTTCACCCAAGTGTAATTATTTCATTTGTATGTCACACCATAGATATGTCATGCCATAGATACACCATAGATATATAGATAATATCTATAGTCAACGTCACACTTACATTTCTTTTATTAAGAACCCAGCTATGCATGAAAGGTGGTGAAAATAATTTTAGGAATATTTTACACTAATATGCTTGTTTATACATAAATCTATATGTTATGAGCTGATTTCAATCAAAATTAAATATATATTAAAGTTTTTTTCGGAACTTTACCAAATAGTAATAGTAATCAGGATTTAACTGTCATGTATAGTAGTAATAATATTAATCATTATACTTTTTCCAGTAAATTAATGTAATAGACTAGCAACAGTATATCAAAATTTTCAGTCATAGCAAATTTTTAATGTAATTGACTTGATTTCTAGTATTTTTCATAATGTATATTTTATGTGATCTAGATAACAGAATAGAAGACATTACAAAGACAAATGTTTTAAAATTATCTTTATGGTTTCCTCCATGCAGATAGTAAAGTCTCACAAAAGGGAGATAGGGAGCATTGTAGACTTGCGATGGCTTTGGCTGCTCTTTTATTCTAGCATGGTCTTTTGAAACTGTGAATCAGTAGTAGTACAATAATATTATCATTATTTTTTGTTAATTATTATTAAGTGTTGTGTCCTGAATTTTCATTCTCACTATCGAAAAAACAAGAAGCAAGTGATAGAGGATAAACTGCTCAATCAAGTTAACATTATCACTGTTCCTATTGATTATTACTCTCTCCCTGCAAATGAAGCAGATAATGTAAGTGAACCTCATCATCCTGTCAATTGACCATTTCAAAGCCAAATTTGCTTAAAATGCTCATGACTCAAAAAAAATTGTTGAAATTGGTTCAAACTCTGTACACAGCATAAGTACATGTACATGTACATCAAGGTGTATCAGAAAATGTAATAAAAATTGGGGGTGATTTTGGAGCCAATTTTTTGAAAAACCATGGGCTATATAGCCTTGGGTATTTTTGAGAATTTTGACGTTTTCTTAAAATGGCCATAACTTTAAAAATTGAAGCTGGAATGAGCTCAAACTTTCTACATAGCATAAGGACATCAATATGTATCAGAAAATGTAATAAAAATTGGGGGTGATTTTGGAGCCATTTTTTGAAAAAAACCATGGGCTATAGCCTTGGGTATTTTTTAGAATTTTGACATTTTCTTAAAATGGCTGTAACTTTAAAAATTGAAATTGGAATGAGCTCAAACTTTCTACATAGCATAAGTACATCAATATGTATCAGAAAATGTAATTAAAATTGGGGGTGATTTCGGAGCCATTTTTTGAAAAAATCATGGGCTATAAGCCTTTGCTTTTTTTTCAAAAATTGACTTATTTTAAAAAATGCTAATAACTTGAGAAGTATTTGTCAGAATTGTTTCAAACTTTGTACACAGCATAAGAACATTAACATGTATCAGAAAATGTAATTAAAATTTGGAGTAATTTTGAAGCGATTTTTTCAGAAAAACCAAGGGGTATAGCCTTTACCAAAAAAAAACCATTGCTTTTTTCGAAAATTTTCTATATAGTTTATAGTATTTTGATTGAAATTTGCCTCTTAACTTTTTGTATGGCATGAATACACATAATTTATATTTTCAGTTTTGCATACAATCATTTATTTAGGTACATAATCAATGTGTTCATTCCTATTATAGTTTGATGTTGCTCTTGAGGACATATTCTTCATGTGTCATCCTGAGAATGCTGAAGAAAGAGCTGCTAGAAGAAGTGGAGAAGGAGATCAAAGTGATCAATGCATTCTGTGGAACCAATCACGGAAGAATTTAGAAAAGTCACCGGTAAGGATTCAGAAAGAGAGAGACAGATATTGTAGATGTAATCTTCTAAATGCAACATAAAATTATTATTGTCATCATTATTTTATAGTGAATCTGTTGTTAGAAAGGTTCAGTATTGCATCTGACATTGCAAAGAAGTGTCTTATGCTGGCAGTTAGGCCTCAGACTACTGATCAATGGGGTAGATGTGAGGAGCCAGTGTCTACGTTACATACCACCAAAAGAGTAAGCAGCGATTGCTATAGTGTTATTTTAAGTACATGCATGAGATGGTATTGCTTTTTGTAGTCTTTTTGAGCCAATAGAAGATGAAGAGGGTCCCATTGCAGAAGAGCAGCAATCATCCATTAGAACTATCCTTGATTTAAGGAAAGCAATAGGAGAGGCTTCTTTTATTAAAGTCGGTGATGATGAAGGACTATAACGTGTTATTGTGGGGACATTGAGTGTGTCATTGAAATGAAACTATATAGATACACTAGAGCAAATTGACCTTTGGTTTCTAAAATAATTAATTTTTTTGCAGCCCATCCTTTAGTGGTCAGCATTGTGATAACTACACACCCAAAAGTACAGGTCACCCTCTCACAGTCAATGGAGATGGCTGAGATTGCTGGAACTACCAAACATGACAAAGAAACATTAACAAATCAAGAGCCATCAGATAAGAAGCCTGAGATTGCTGCAACTACCAAACATGACAAAGAAACATCAAAAGATCAAGAGCCATCAGATAAGAGGCCAAGCTCTGTTACAGGTAACATTCCTGGTGACACACCCATCACACAAAAGGATTTCTACTGGGACCAAATTCTCTTTTATCTGGTATCAGCTATTCTGGGTTTGAGTTTCTTAGATGTATCAATAGAATTCTTTAGAGATTCATCTATAATAAAATGCTATATTTCTGATACCACTATAACACGTGATCAAGTGGCATATTTTAATAACTACTGCTACAGTAGTTTACCCAATAGTCAGTATTATCTCATATTTATACTGATATCTGCTCTTATTATCATTGCCCCTCATTATTTGTGGATGTCGTATTTTGGAGCATATTTTGATTTTTTCTTTGACCTTGCAAAAAAGCTTCATCGTCTTCGAGACACCAAAACTGGCGAATATAATCTGTATAATTTTGAACTCATCAAGAAACTAGAACAAAAGTTTTCTTCATCAAACCCGTGGATGTTTCGTTGGTATAAGCTAAAGCTCTTAGCTCAGCTGGGGGTGTGTGTGATAGTGGAAACTGTTAATGCTTTCTACTTCGAAGCAGATGATTTCAACGAATCATTTCTCTGCCCAACAGACACTGGTCTTCTCAATACTACAGTCTGGCCACTACCCGAGCAGTTAAACTGTGTTTACAATAGTCTGACGTTACTTTATTTCTTACGTAACACTGCACTTGGTTTAGTTGCTGCTGCTGTAGTTGTGATTATGATTGGACTTGTTTGGTGTTTTGTACGTCACACTAATGAGCTTGGTGCTAAAGACATTGCTGCTTTTTGTGATGTCTCTTGCTTGCCTCCTGAGGAATATCCTTTCCCGTCTACTCGAAATGTTTTTCATAGGATTTTCTACTGTGGCAAGGAGGAGAGGCTGCTGAAAGAATACCAACCAAAGTCTTCAGAAAATGGTCAAGGCCAGCGTGAGCTAGATAATATTCAAGTAGAGCAACCAAACCTGGACAAAGACGAAGAAGAAAATGACAAGCCACTCTGC